CAACTAGCTCTGACACTTAATGAAGCTACATTTTTTACCTTTTCAACTTGGGCATCTACATTCAGTCTCTTGATTTTTGGTTATTAATTCTACTTAGAATGTTTGTGATACTTGAATTGACGATTGACACTCAATCCTGTGGCACTTCTCACTCTAGCTTGTCTATTGGTTTTCAGCTTCTGGGACTTACTTCCAGTGCCAGGCATGATTGAAGCACAAGGTAGCCCAAGATGGATCCTCATGGGGGAGAATTTTGACAACTGGGACCTCTGTATCTATTTTTGTTTTATTGTTTTTTTATTTCTGGTAATAAAATAAATACATGGTCATAGGAGAAATTTTTGACAAAAGATATGTGTAAAAAGGGAGAAAAAAATCACCTGCAATTCTACCACTCAATATAAACACTATTAACTTGCTAATATATTTCTTTCCAGTCTTTTTTTCTCTTTATGTGGTTATATACATCGTTAAAATAATTGTGTTCATAGTTCATATGCAATTTGTATCTTACTTTTACATTGTGATTTTATCATAATTGCTTCTCAGTATCATTAAATAGTCTTGGATAAAAATTCTTTTGAATGGTTGCACATTTCAACATATACATGATATGATGAAGCTGTATTATTATTAGGCATTTATATCTTTTTAATCTTTCACTATTGTACAGAAAATTCTCATATCCAGTGTCCTATGTAGTACAAGTCACTTTCAGGTAAATATAGGTATAAAGCCAAATGTAACTAAAACACACATACACACACACACACACACACACACACACACACACACACATTCTATCTATGCACCTTGGAGAACATTCACAAGAAACCCATTCATGGATCACTAAAAATTTCTGAAATATCCTCTAGTCATTGCATTTTTGAACACATAGAGACCAGAAAGTATTCTCAGTCTTGAGCAGTGAGGATACCTTAATGGGATTTTAAAACCTCTTTTTGTCATTAACTGGAACCTCAATTTTTATGGGCCCCATTTTAAAAAGCTGAGGTAAATCTGCATCATTTCTGGCTACCTGGAGTCAACATTCTAAACTTTTTAAGTAGATCCTGTTTTTTATCATCCAGTGGAGAAATCCCTTTTCCTTCCTCAGTCTTTCTGAACTTTCCATTTGGGAAATTGCATGAGTCTCATTGAAATATTGAGCTATATATTAATTTTTAATTACAGAGTCTCAGTGTGTGAAGTTTGATGTGTCTGAATTTCATGCAACTTTAAGAAAATATTTATAAAACACATATCCAATAAAGTACCTTTTTTCTAGAATATGTAAAGAACTCTCAAGACTCAATAATAAGAAAATGAACCAATTTTTTTTTTTTTTTTTTTGAGTTGGAGTCTCACTCTGCCACCCAGACTGAAGTGCAGTGGCTGCTCCCGGCCACCGCAGCCTCGACCTGCTGGGCTCTGGCGATCCTTCCGTTCAGCCTTCCAAGTAGCTGGAACTACAGGCGCGTGCTACCACACCCGGCTAATTTTTTTTATTATTATTATTTATTGTAGAGATGAGGTCTCGCCAAGTTGCCCAGGCGGGTCTCGAACCCACAGACTCAGGCAATCCACTCACCTCAGCCTCCCAAGGTGCAAGATTACAGGGTGAGCCATCGAGCCCCGCTAATTTTTTTTTTTTTTTTTTTTACAGGGGAGAGCGTGAACGCAGTCCCCCACTACCACAAATTATGCAGTCGAGTTTCCCACATTTGGGGAAATCGCAGGGGTCAGCACATCCGGAGTGCAATGGATAAGCCTCACCCTGGGAAAACCACCTTCGTGATCATGGTATCTCCCCTGTCAGGTAAGTATGCTAATTTTTTTTTAATTGAAGCCTCACTCTGTTGCCCAAGCTGGACTGCGGTGGCACAGTCACCACAGCCTCAACCTGCTGGGCTCAGGCAATCCTTCCGCCTCAGCCTTTCAAGTAGCTGTAACTGTAGACACATGCCACCACGCCCAGCTAGTTTTTGTGATTTAGTGTAAAGACGAGATCTCACCATGTTGCCCAGGCTGGTCTCAAACTCCTGGGCTCAGGCAATACTCTCACCTCGGCCTCCTAAAGTGCTGGGATTACCGCGCCCAGCCTGATCAATTTTTTTTTTTTTCTGTTGGAGTCTCACTCTGTCGCCCAGACTAGAGTGCAGTGGCCGCTTCCGGCC